TTCTGTACCTATGTTCATGAAACATTTGCAGTCTTATTTTCTTGTGATGTCTTTGCAAGATGTTAGCAATGTTAGCATAAAATAGGCTGGGAAGTGTTCCTTTATTAGATTTCCTAAGAGTGTAAAAAAAAAATCAGTATTAATTGAGTTTTAAGTGTTGGGTTGAGTTTGCCAGAGGCCGGTTGAGCCTGGGGCCTCCGTGAGGACCTTGAGACAGTGACTTGAAGGGGCTGGAAAGCTGGCTTCACAGCTCAGAGCACTGGTTGCTCTTGCAGACAATCAGGGTTCAGTTCCCAGTACCCACATGGTGACTTGAAATCATCCATCGATCTCACTCCAGGAGATCCGATGCCCTCTTCTGACTTCTGTGAGCACCAAGCATGCACATGATATACATACATATACACCAGGCATGCACATGATACACATACATACATATACACCAGGCATGCACATGATATACATACATATACACCAGGCATGCACATGATACACATACATATACACCAAGCATGCACATGATATACATACATATACACCAGGCATGCACATGATACACATACATATACACCAGGCATGCACATGATATACATACATATACACCAGGCATGCACATGATACACATACATATACACCAGGCATGCACATGATATACATACATATACACCAGGCATGCACATGATACACATACATACAGAAACAAAAGAAAATAAGCAAAGCTGACAAGAGAAAAAGAAGACCGTTAGTTCAAGCTGTGCCGTAAATCCAGGCAGGTAGTGAGTCTTCTGAGTCGGTGGTGTCTCCTTCAACTTGCTCACATCATTCAAGTGTCCTGTTTGCGGGCTTCATTGCTCAGTCTTGCCTTTAACGTTTTAGTTCTAGAGGGTCAGAAGTGATGTCCCTTCTTTCATCCTGACCTTAGTAATTTGAGTTCTTCCTTTTAAAGTCATTTTATTTTTAATTTATTTGTGTGTTTGTGTGCGCGTGCGCGCGCACCTATCCCTAGGGTCAAAAGAGGGAATCAGAGCCCTGGAGTTGGAGTTATAGATGGCATGGGCCACCATGTGGGTGCTGGGAATCAAACCCGGGTCCTCTGGAAGAGCAACAGCTCCTGTTTTGTCTTGGTTTGGACCCCAGCCATGCCCCTTCTTGAGCTCTTTTGCTTGGTAAGTCTGGCTAGAGGGTTCTTATTTTTATTGATCACTTCAAGGAGCCAAGTTTTGGTGTGGATTCCTCTTTCTTCCTTCATTCCCCTTCCTTCTTTGTGCCAGGAATAAAACGCTGGGCCTTCCTTATACATCCAGTCGAGTAAGCGGCCACAGAGCCACAACCACAGCCTTGACGGCACTTTATATGTATTTATTTCAGTGCTGGGACTGAACGCCGGGCTGCACATTTCTTGGCAAATACTGTAACACTGAGCTACATCTCCAGCTTCATCTATAATTTTAGAAATGTCTTCTTGAAGCTTGGTGTGGTGGCATAATCTTCTGAAATCCCAGGACTTGGGAGGTAGAAGCAGTTGGATCTCTGAGTTCAAAGCCAGCCTAGTCTACATAATGAGTTCTGGACTATATAGAACAAAATCTTTTTTGTTGTTTTTGTTTTGCTTATAGCCCAGACTGGCTTTGATAAAACGAACCACCCCCCACCTCAGCTTCCTCAGCACAACCATGTGCTACCATGGCTAGGTACAGTCATCTTATGGCCTTGCCCATCTGTGCATTCTGTGCATTCTAATATGTATACCTTGAAGAACAATAGGCTTTGCCTCAAGACACCACATTCCCTTATTTTTTACATTTGTGTATACGTGTGTGTGTGTGTGTGTGTGTGTGTGTGTGTGTGTGTGTGTGTGTGGTTTGGCATGGCATGTGTATGGAGGTCAGAGGTCAACTTTCAGGAGTTGGTCCCTCTCCTTCCACCATGGATCCCAGGGATTGAACTCAGGTCATCGGGCTCAGGGGTGAGCACCTTTACAGAGTGGTCTGGTTCATAACAGCACCATCCAGTTTCCCCTGATAATTTAATTGGCCTGCTCCTCAGGAACAAGGGCCACACATGACAGGAAGCTATGATGATCTGGTCTAAGGGTGAAGGAACTTCAGTTTTCCACCAGAGGGAAAGGCTGGGGCAGCTTGCAGGCAGGCTTCTTCTTCTCTGTCAACGGGGGTGGGGGTGGGGGCGGCAATGGCTCTTCTCCTTCCCCAGGCACTGGCTTTCTCTGAACTCAGAGTAGAAAGCCTGCTGCTCATGGGGAGGGAGAAGGAACCCCACCACACACACACCCGGATCCACATGGCAGGCAGGGAGAATGTCGCAAAAGGCATTGTGTCCTCACAGAGGAGGGACAGATGCCCTGCAGACAGCACATTCCAGGGTTTGGTGCAAGTGAATTGCTGGCAGGGAAACCTGTTGTTCTGAGCCGCACACCCCTTTCCAGGCCTGAAACACAGACTCACTGGTCCCCTGCATCCCTAGCCACACAGTCCCCTGACCTCAGAGGTCCTCGGCTTGTTAGGGCCTGCCCGCCGCTGCCGCCAGCTCACAGTGAGGTCCTGCTGCCCCCACGCGGTGCAGAGCCCACCTCCCTGAGGCCTGTCCTGCAGTGACTGCTTTCAATCCACGTGTGTTTGCACGGGCACTGTCTGCTCAAACACCCCAAGGCTACCCCGCTCCTGTTCCTTCCTGTTACACTCTTGTGCGCATAAAGATTCTGATTTTCCTAATAAAGATCTTAGTACTTTTACTTAAAATCTGGACTTTAAATTTTTTGTTGTTTTTGAGACAAGGTTTCTCTGTGTAACCCTGGCTGTCCTAGAACTCGCTTTGTAGACCAGGCTGGCATCGAACTCAGAGATCCACTGGTATGCGCCACCACTGCCTGGTGACTTTAAATTGTTTTTAACTTGGTTTCTTGAGACAGTGTCTCACTCTGTAGCCCAAGCAGGCCTGAAATTCACTCAGCCCAGGTTGGTCTAGAACTGGTGGCGATCCTCCTGCCTCTGCCTCCCAAGTGCTGGGGCTACTGGTATGAGTCACTAAGCTTTGACCAAAGCAGGTCTTTAAAGAACTCCTTGTGGCTGGGTGATAAACCCTGTCTTGAACACTCCCCCCCCCCCCCCCCCCCCCCCCCCCCCCGCAACACACACACACACACACACACAACCCCACACTCACGAAAAGACTATAATCAATTCAAGAGCAGCTAGCTTTGGGACACATAACAGGGATTGGCTCCCTGCCCCCTTTTTCTTTTTGAGACAGGCAGACCTTGAATACTTTGTGTGTGTGTGTGTGTGTGTGTGTGTGTGTGTGTGTGTGTGTGTGTGTGGTGTTGTTTTTCAAGATAGGGTTTCTCTGTGTAGTTCTGGTTGTCCTGGAACTTGCTCTGTAACCAGGCTGGCCTTGGACTTAGAGATAAAAGGCGTGTACCACCATGCCTGGCTGTTACTTTTTTTTTTTTTTGGTAATGGTGAGGTCAGAAGACAAACTAGCCAGAGTGGGTTCTCTCGTTCTACTGCGTGGGTCCCAGAGTGGAACTCAGGTCTCAGGCTTGGCAATAGCTGTCTTTACCAGCTGAGTCATTGCTTCAGGCCCGATGTGACACGCGTTTATATGTTATGATGATGTACTATGTATTATTATCCCTGAGTGTATGTATGTACACCATGTGCATGCAGGAGCCCGGAAGTCACAAGAGAGTGCTGGATCCCCTGGAGCTGGAGTTACAGATGGTTGCAGGCTGCCACTCTCTGGGTCCTGGGACTCGAACCAGGGTCCTCTGCAAGGTAAGTGCTTGTAAGCACTGAACCATCTTTCCTGACCCTCATGTGCAGTTAAAGTAAAAACAAGACTCACTCACTCGATCAGATTCCAAAAGCAGAAGGTCCACACACTGCCTTGGTAGACACCAATTTTATTCCGCGACATGGTGAAATACACTTCCCAGAGTCCCTGAAGCAGGGTGGGCACGCGCTCTGTTTTAGGGGATGTGATGGGAGTTCAAGAACACTCCTCACTGGAGCAAGCTCCTTTTCTTCATTTTCCCCTTTATCCAGCAACCTGGAGCTGGAGATGCGACTTCTGGAGCTCTAGCTGCTGTCTTGGAAGTGAAAGCTAGGATGGTAGGATGGTTGGCAGAAAGATAAGAACCTAATGGTCATTTCAGACTTACTGCACTGTCACTGTGATTCAGGGGTCAGGGGCTCTCTAAGGCCTGGCTTAGCTGTCTAGGCCTGGGGACCCACTTGCAGCCCCGGCCACGGTGTTGGCACCCCAGGCTTTTGACAGCAGGTGGTCTAGAGGTTTCAGTTCCCAGCCCTATGGGTCTCCCCACGGAGAGGGCAGCTGGGGCGCAGAGTGCCCGGGGTCACGATCTCGGTCTCCCACAGAGCGCCCTTGAGGGTTTTCCTGCTCCGACCTTGCTCCTGCTCTCGTGCCTTGGTCCTCTGGTTCTGCGGGGCTGGCAGCTTGCAGGCCGAGGTCCTGCGTGCAGAGGGCAGGTGTGGCAGTCACACCACGGGGACAGTCGCTTTCTGCCACCAGTCAGGCTCTCCCTCGCGGAGCGCGGAGCAGGGAGCTGCACGAGCGCCGCGCGCCCCCTGGCGGCCAAGACGAGGAGGGACTCGGTGCCGAGCAGGTGGCCTCAGGGGCCACAGCATCTGCCCCGCGGGACTCTCCAGCCAGGCGGGGCCTGCAGATCCTGTAAGTCACCTCCCTCCCCGCCCAGGGGACAGCCCGGTGGGGCCCCAGAGCCCCCACCCACCCAGCGAACTTCTCATCCCTCTGCCTGCTGCTTCCATATCCCCAAGAGAAGCTGCTCCTGGGCTCTGGGGTTTGCTTTCTATACAGAAAAACCCCTGCAGCAGGCAGAGGCTTCCAGCAGGTGGTAGGAAGCATGCGGGTACTGAGCTTAAGGGCCCCCCCCCCCCACACACACACCCTTCGCACTCTCTCTCTGGGAGAACACTGCATTTTTTCCATGGTATATAACTTTAATTAATTAGATCTTAAAACAAGCACTGTACATTTTTTTCTGCAAAACAACTCTGTTCTGGTAAAACACTTAACAAAACTCCTGGGAAGCAGAGGCAGGCGGATCTCTGTGAGTTCGAGGCCAGCCTGGTCTAACAGAGCAAGCTCCAGGACAGCCAAGGCTACACAGAGAAACCCTGTCTTGAAAAAGAAAGAGCAACAACATAACTTAGTTAGGCACTTTATTTTATACATGAGCGCTTTTGCCTGCATGCATGTATATGCACCATTTGCGCGCCTGGTACAATCGAGTTCAGGAGAAGGCAGCAGACCCTAGGAACTGCAGACACAAATGGCTGTGAGTCACCATTCAGCTGCTGGAACAGAACTCAGGTCCTCTGGAAGAACAGCCAGTACTCTTAATCACTGAACCATCTCTCCAGGCCCCTAAAAAGCTATATGAAAACTATATGCTATATGAAATACACTCTGAATTTAAACATTAACTACCAACATTAAAATGCAAAATAACTCAACTTTTAAGCATTAATTGTATAGCAAAAATGAGTACTATTTAACTAATAGTACCCTATTGAGTTAAATAAAACCCTAATCTAATCTTTAAAAGAAAACAGTGTAACCCTAAGCCGGAGATGGTAGTGCATGCCTTTAATGCCAGCACTCAGGAGGCAGAGGCAGGTGGATCTCTAAGGGTTGGAGGCCAGCCTGGGCTACAGAGCAAATTCCAAGACAGCCAGAGCCATACAGAGAAACCCTTGTCTCACACAACCAAAACCAAAACCAACAAAACATAACCCTAACCCTTTGAGGGGTGGGGGATGCACTCCTCAAAGTTGGGTTTTTGTTTGTTTTTTGAGACAGGGTTTCACTGTGTAGCCCTGGCTGTCCTGGAACTCACTCTGTAGCTCAGGCTGGCCTTGAACTCAAGAGATTTGTTTGCCTCTGCCTCCAAAGTGCTGGGATTAAGTGTGTGTTACCACCACCTGCAACAGAAAGTTTTAATATACTTATGGAGATGGCATTCTATATTTCTGCTCTAGAGAGTGGATTCCCAGTCAATTTTTATTTATTGGTACTAAAGCTTGAACCCAGGGCCTCACCTACATAGGCAGGTATTCTACCACTGAGCTACATCTCCTGCCCCTACAGTTGATTTTTCATTTTCTGTCTCTACTAAAGACCTCAGAAACACCAGAGACATTGCCAGTGGGGGAAATGGGATGTGTTGGGGCTGAGGTCCTGACTCTCAGAGCTGGACCAAGCTTATGGAGCTGATACCTGGGCAGGTCAGCCATGATGTATCTGGCTGGGTCCTGAATGGCAGGAGGTTCCAGTGGGTGCTGGGCCACAGACTCTACACTTGAAACAGCATGAGCTCAACAGGCTCACAAAGCCTGAAGCCCTAGGATCCAGCATGGCACCACTGTCTCTCTCAGTTATGGCCGGCAAGATGGGAGGCCTGGTCTACTCACTGGGGTGCTCACAATGGAATCTCAGCGAGCAGAGCTTTCTGTATCCAGGGCTCAATCTCCCTAATGCTGAAGTCCTTTAATATATCATGGTGACCCTCAATCATAAATTATTTCATCTATACTTAACCACTGTAATTTTGCTACTATTAGGAATCATAATGTAAATATCTGTGTTTTCCCATGGTCTTAGGTGACCCCCTAAGGGGTCACAACCCACAGGGTGAGAAGAGAAGGCATTATGGCAAGGCATGTTTTCCTGATGCTATCAGCACAGAACTCTTTTGAAATCTGCAGAAGGGTTTCTTGGTTTATTTTTGCTTTGCTTTGTTGAGACAGGGTCTCACTATGCCTCCTAGCTGGCCCTGGAACTCTTTATGTACAGCAGGATGGCTTTGGGCTGAGATCCACCTGCTTCTTCCTACTGAATGAATTGGATCATTGAAGGTATGTACCACCATGCCTGGTCCAGAAGGGCATCTTTAAAAAGCATCTTTCTGCTTTAATCCCAGCACTCAGGAGACAGAGGCAGAGAGACAAGAGCTCTGTGAGTTCGGGGCCAACCTGGTCTACAGAGCTAGTTCCAGGATAGACAAAGCTGTTAAACAGAGAAACCCTGTCTCAAAAACAGAAACAAAACAACAATAAAATCCCCATCATTCCACCTTTTCAAACACATGCCCATGGTGGTCTTCATCCACAAAAACAGAGGCCAGGCTGCCTGCAGGAGCTGGGGCTGTCTGCCCTATGCTGGCTAGCCAAGGTGACAAGGTCCTACAAGGACCACACTCCATCTGCCACCTAGCATTCTCTCCTGATTTATGACAATAGGGTTCTCCAAGTGCAGATCTGTCCCTGCCACTTTTCATGGCCTCACACAAGGTTTTGGGAGCCACATCCTGAGCCCCAGTGAGTACTTAGGAACCAGGAAATGCCATTGTTTAAAACTATTCATCACCACAAACAGCCTGAACTAGGGGGAACACTCCTTTGAGGTAAATCCAAAGGGTCAGATAACCTTTCCCTTCCCAGAGGTTACAGCTCTGGGGATCAGGCCTCAGCCACAATGACTGTCTTCATCAAGGTGACTGTTTGGCGGCTCTGGGAATTGTCCGGGTCCTAAGCCTTTTCTCCCTTCTCTGGTGGGAAGGTCACCCCAAGATCCAATTGTCACAGCAACTCAACCACTGGCGTCTGTTGGCCCTCAGTCGGTGAGAGAAATTGGTAAGTGCAACTTCTGGGCCCACAGCTTTCTCGAAGCCCATGCTTCAGAACCCCCACATCCCGTCTCCTGGAAAAGGGGCAGTGCCTTAGGCAAGCAATGACAAGCTATTGCCACCCAGGGGGCAGTTCAGGGTGTGAGGGATGTTGACAGATCACCAGGTGGGGAGGACAGTGGACTTCTCCTGGGGCTGTGACCCATATTTCCCTGTTCAAAAATGGGCCCTGTGAACTCTAAAAGCCTCTTGGGTCTAAATAAACCTGTATTCAAGTCTCGGTTTTCCAAACAGAGGATCCCACAGCAGCCTTTCTGAATATTGGTGCTATGGTAATTGCTTCAGTTTGCATGGAGTTCTGTCAGTGTCAAGGCACTGGAGACTCTCGTTAATGAAGGGCCTGCGGTGTGCAGGAGCTGGAATTGAGTAGGCCAGCTCCTAAGAGGACTAGAACTCAACAGCTCCAGCTTCCAGTCCTTTGGGTAAGGGTTCAGTGAGGATTGCGTATGTTTCAGAGCACTGGAGGGTGCCCTTCCCTATTTAAGGAGCGCTGTGTCTGCCCTCCCCCCATGCCAATTCTGACAGGCAGATATGAAGGTGGGTTCCTGGAGCCAGTATCCCTATGCCCAGGAAACAAAATATCACAACAGACGCGGTGAGGAAACCCGTCTCAGGTCTTCTGGTTACTCAGTGGGGTCAGAAGACTGGACAGCACTGCCACCTGGTGTCCGGCTGGGGTAGCGTTAGGTTCCCCAGCCGGGGAGAGGTAGCACTGGGCACACACACAGCGGCAGGCTCCCGTCCAGACACTCATCAAGTTCAGACTAACTTCACGTCCTCATCAGGACGTCCTCATCCAGGATACAGGTGCTTAGGCGCACACAGGGCAGTGAGGCCCTCCAGGGCACAGGGCTGGCACGAGATGGCTCTGTTGGGAGGGCTCTGATGCACACACCTCAGCCAGCTGTCTGGGGGCGGGGTCTTTTGGTTATTCCTGCCTGAGGGTGACACACTCCCTTACTGATTTCTGTCCTCTCTCTTGTTGGATATGTGTGGGCAGCTATTGATCGAGTTCAGCCATTTGCCAAGGTATATACACATTTTATTTAAAAAAGTTTACAGTTTTCATTATACACAACTATTAAGAGGTTATAGGAGGCATTTGTCCAGGTGACAGACATGCCCACTAGATCATCACAATGCAAGGAAGGTGGAAGGAAGGAGCCAGGGCAGGGGGGGAGAGCGGTAAAAAGCTTCGATTTCAATTAAGGGCTGCTGAGTCCCTTTATCTCTTCAAGTATCACACAATGTGTACCAAATACAATCAGTAATTCAAGGCCATTTCTTCCCACGCCCACAGCCAAGTAACTGCTACCCCAAGAGCCATGGCCATCCTCGGGTGAGTGGAAAGCTGCACCCCACGACCCCAAAGGGCCTTCACTCCATCCAGTCCCTAAAGAGCTGGCCAAGGGGTTCGGTGGCCAAAGGAAGATGAACATGGATTCACAAGTCCAAAGAAATGCAGTCCTTTGTGCCCAATCAGAAACAAGTCGGTTTTTCACTCAGCAAGGCTATGACCCAATCAGAAGTGAAGAAAACAAAGTAAAACCCTTTGCTAACTTGTAAATTGCTTCACTTTCCTGAGTCACTAAAACAGAGGGGCCACATATCATTAAAATCCAATACCAGTTTTCAGAAACCTGACCTAGAGAGACTAGACTGGCAGAGGATCTGTCATGATTCTTAGCCACCCCAAAAGGTGGCCTAGAAAATGCAAGTATCAGGTCAAGGCCAACTAGAACTTCGGGGAGCCCTTTCCAGGACACATTTCCTCTGAGAAGACGCACTCCTCAGGAGCCTAGATCAGCCGTTGGCAATTAGAACAGCGCTTGAAGTGGACAGAAACATTAGTGCTGGAGAGATGTGGCAACTTCTGAGAACTCTCTCGTTAGTAGGAAATGCTGGTTGAAGCTGCACAGTACTCTCGAGGAAGGTGGAGACTGCTGACAAGAAATGTCAAGTGCCAGGGTCTATGTTGGCAACCACAGAACACAGCCCACTGGCCCAGTGCTGGGCTCTGGGGGCAGAGGGACGCGGCAGGTGTGGGCTGCCAGGCAGCAGCCACTTTGCTTGTCGGTGTTTGGCAAGAACTCCAGTCATCTGAATGGCTTGCACTGGTAAACCACACGGTAGGCCCTCAAAATGGTTAGTACAAGGGGTGGGCAAATGCCAGCAACAGCCCGGACCTACTGCTCCCCCTCCAAGGCAAGGAGTCCTCAGCCTCCAAAGGAGCTCAGCACCCCCTTGGGAGTCAGGAGGGACGCCCACAGCCAACTAGAGAGGGTTTCGGTGCCCAAACAGCAGAGCTCACCTATTTACTATGGAGACCTGGAGCCCTCAGAGTCACAGCCAGGCTTTATTTCTGGTCCTTTGCACCTATGGATATGGTATGGTCATCTAGTCCTACCTCACCAAGGAGTAAGGAAGGGCCAGAAAGATTGCGAAGTCAACTTCCTAGCAGAGTCAAGGCCCAGAGAGCAGCAACGTGCACAGAACCAGACCTGGCTCCAGGAAGTTGAGGGTAGAGTGATTTGGGGGGCAGTCATGACCTGTCAGTACTGCAGTGATTCACTATTCACCCGGATGGACCTTCTGCCCTGCGGCCTCAAGCCCTAGGCTCCACATGGGCATTCTGCACGGTCAGCTGTGTACTGCTGTTGCTCTGCATGGGAGGGAGTGATGTGTCTTCAATGCAGCAAGGTGGATTCTGGGGAGGGTCGGAGCAGCAGCTGCTTACACCCATTCCCTAAACTTGACTCTGTGATGCTTTGTTTGATTTTTGTTTTGTTTTGTATTTCTTTCAACAAGATTGAACACAATTATCAGGATCTTTTTTTTGAAAGGTAATTAGAATACTATTTTTATACAGTATTGAAAAAATACAATTTTTTATTGTTTGAACTCAATCACCACCCAGCACTTCAAGCCTACCCTAAGTAGCACCTACAGAAAAGGTCAGAGCATGAGCAAACTGCTAGTCCTCAGGGGAAGCAATGTGGAGGCACCAGCAGACCCTCCTTCCCCCCGACAGAAGACAGCATGCCAGGTAAGCACGGCCGCATTACACGACACAGCGATTCACAACTGCTGAAGCCACCTTCCAACAGGCAGGGTGCCCAAGGGGGCAGCGCAGTGAACTGACCACAGCCCCCCCACAGAACTGCAGTTTCCCCAAAGAAAACCTTTTGCTTCATGCCCGTAATTAACATAAAATAAGTAAATTATTTGTCTTTTTATTTAGGAAAATAATCATGCTAAAAGTTGTACTTTATATAGATTTTCAAAGGAAAAACTGATTGTGCTTTCTGAATTAAAAAAGAGAGGTGTCTCCCAACCTCACCGACTTAAACCCTGTGGAATACAGCACTTCTACATTAGAAACACATGGAAAGAAAAGTTAGTCCAGTGGGACATTCAAATGTCTTCAGAAGGTCTTAGGATTGGCTACTCCTACTGCTCAGGTTTCCACACAAAGAATACAGAGCTGCTGTGTAAACTGTCTTCAAATCCCTTCCAGAGCCAGATGGAAGCGGCTGGGCACTCTGGGTGGCAGTCAGCCGAGCAGACACCGAGGCGGCGGTGGCAGTGGCAGGCCAGGCTTCCAGCTGTCTGACTTGCTGTGAGAGCAGAGGGAGAAAGTGTCCTCCCTCCCACAACCGGCCTGCGTCTGGTTCACACCTTCTCCCTAGCCAGTCACAGAAGAAAGTGTTTCTTCCCCACCTCAACAACTTGTTTCAATTATTACCCATCTTAAATTGAGGATGTTTTGGGTCTCATATACCCACACTTCCCTCTCCCATAAGCGGTCGGCAACTGGGTGCTGCCAGAGAGAAAAAAAACAAAACTAAGACTGGAGTTCAAAGGATCGCTCGCACAGGGCCGAGTCTTCCTCCACCTGATGGTCCAACTGAGTGCCTCGTCCAGGGAGGAGACTGTCTCCTCGTAGGTAAAATTCAATCTGTAACCTGTCTAAGTTCAATTCACACAAATAAAAAATAAAAAGGAACAAAAGAAAAGAAAAACACCAAACAAAAACTGCTTCCAGTTTTTGCTGCTCAGCCCAGGGCGTGGTCTCCAACGGGCCCAGAGCTGGGGGCAGATCTAACTGCATCTCCCACTTCTCTCCTCCAGTCCTGTTCTCTCAAAAAAATGTTCTGGATGACGAGCTGTACCCCAAGAAAAAGATTTATGTTCAGAAACACTTATGTTCAGAAAAGTTCTTCAGAGCAAAACCAATGTGGCTGCAGGTCTGGTAGCACAGAGGACAGGAATCTACCTAGAAAAAATGCTCTTAAATCTGAGTCAAAAAAAAAAAAAAAGTCTCACTTCTCATCCACCTCCCTGTCTCCCACTGCTCCTCAGAAAGGGCCACGGAGGACGTGGAGCAGCTGCTGTGTACGTGGCTAGCTTCACACGCTCCCAAAGCTTGCCTCTTCCTCAACCTTTCCTTCCAACTCTCGAAATGCACTGTTCTATCTTCATCCAAGAGCTGGTAGATTTGGTTTTTTTCTTTGGAACCATCACTAAAAAGAAGCAACCTTTTCCTGTTAGTTTTACTCATGTTGACCTATCCGAGCGGCAATTTCTTGACAGTTCAGTAGCACACAGGCTGACTTGGCCAAATGGACTTATGAATGCATGCATTCAGACCGCATATTGCTACCAAAATGGAATGTGGGAATATGCTATGCACCTCAGGTTGAGAAATGACCAAGAAATCAAGATCTAAAGGGTGATATATAATATATATATATCAATGCTATTATTCATAAAAACCTTGTTTAGTAATAAAAAAAATTGCTTTGTTTAAATATGAATATTATAGTCTGCTTCTCATGGTTAGGAAATAATAGTCTTTCTGAAAAGCAGATGCTTTTCTACTACAACTCCATGTCCTGGGCCTCATCTTCCGAAAAGTCAGACATAGAACTCTCCGAAGAGCTGTCTCCAGTGCCCTCTTCCTGCTCCTTCAGGGCCTCCTCCGTTGCATACTTCTGGATGTACTCTGCACAGGGAAGGGGAGGGAAGAAAACACAGAGTGAGTTCAGTGACCCCCAAGGTACAAACTCCCTGCTCTACCAGGGTAAGGGTTGTTATGAGGACTAAAAGCCAAGGGGGATTCCAAAGGGAGGTGACTAGTGTGGGGTGAAGTGGGCAAGCCCCACTTTTGACTTTCCATGTTATAAAGCGATGACTTTCCCAGGTAGAACAGGACTAGTGATGACTCCACAGAGGTTATCAGGACACCCATCCTCCTGACCTGCAGCTTCGTAATTACAGCCAGCTCAGGTCTGCTACTGCAGACTCTCGAGATGCTGACCGCTGGGGTTTGGAAGCAGACAGTAATCATGGTCTCAGTGCGCTCATTAGGAACAAGCTGCTCTGTGGAGGCTGAGGGCAGCTGAGTAGTTCTGCCATGCATGATTCTCGTCAAGATCCATGCTTCAAGAGCCTATGCCAATGTGCTGGCTGAAAACGAATTTAAGATGTGCTGAATAGAGAAAAAAGTTGTTCCTAAAAGCACACTCTGTTGCTAGGAGGTGGTGGCACACGCCTTTAATCCCAGCACTCAGGAGGCAGAGGCAGGTGGATCTCTGTGAGTTCCAGGTCAGCCTGGTCTACAGAGAGAGTTCAGGACAGCCAGGCTACACAGAAAAACTCTGTCTTGAAAAAACAAAAACAAAATACACTGAGTAAACTCCCTACACATATAAGGAAGGGCGGCTTGTGGGAAACCTATCAGGACACAAGCTGGACACACACGGTCCCTCATGTCCTCAGGCTGTCTTTTTCTATGGAGCTGTAGGAGCTGCTATCAGGAGGTAGACAGAAGCCCCCACGGGCCTGCCAGAGCTGGAAACAACAGCGCAGAGGCCAGGCAGGAACTCTCTTTCCTGTCCCCCACTTCAGTCTGTACTGTGACAGAGTGTGGCCCAGGGCGGCGCGGAACCTACTATGTACCAGACTGGCTTAAATTGTCTGAGTGCCGGGGGGTGGAGGCAGCGCACGCCTTTAGTCCCAACATTTGGAGACAAAGGCAGGCAGATCTCTGTGAGTTTGAGGCCACCCTGGTCTACAGAGTGAGTTCCGGCACAGCCAAGGCTACACAGAAAAACCTTGTCAAAAAACCTTGTTTGAAAAATCAAACCAAACCAAACCAAACCAAAAAGTACCACAAATATTTTTTGGAATAAGAAAAATGTTGAGGGGCTGGAGAGATGGCTCAGAGGTTAAGAGCACTGGCTGCTCTTCCAGGTCCTGAGTTCAATTCCTAGCAACCATATGGTGGCTCACAACCATCTGTAATGAGATCTGGTGCCCTCTTCTGGCCTGCAGGCATACATGCAGGCAGGACACTATATACATAATAAATAAATAAATCTTTTTAAAAAAAAAAAAAAAGAAAAATGTTGAATTATATACATGTGGGAGCACACAGGTGTTCAAAGCAGCCAGGTGTAGTAGCCTAATGTTAGAGTTGCAGGTGGTTGTGAGGCACTTATGTGGTGCTGGGAATTGAACTTGGGTTTTCTGAAAGAGCACCAAGTGCTGCTAACCACGGAGCCATTTCTCCAGCCCAGAGATTTTATTTCTGATTCATGGCTGGCTATTCTACTTTCCCTTCATAGAAGTTGCTACATCTGTTGCACCATCCTTAAGATATTCAAAGAAACAAGTATCTATGAAGCATTTACCAAGACAGGCTTTTCAGAAGGCAAAGAAACTAAGAACAATGTCACTGACGGGGAGAGTACCACAGACACAGAGGCAGGGGCTGCACCATGACAGGAACTGGATGAAGGCTCAGGGAAGCAGCTACAGCCACTTATGCCCCTACGATGTCAACTCTGCACAGGACAGTCCATTAAATCTTAGTGTCACCAAAATTGTGTGGCTGGGCTATGAAAATTCAACACTAACTTTTCTTTCCTTTTTCTTTTTGAGACAGGGTTTCTCTCTGTAGCCCTGGCTGCCCTGGAACTTTCTCTGTAGACCAGGCTGGCCTTGAACTCGGAGATCCATCTGTCTCTGCCTCCCAAGTGCTGGGATTAAAGGTGTGTGCCAGCTTGCCCAGCATAAATATATAAGCCAGCTATGCCCCAAGCTGGCCTTAAAAAAAAAAAAAAAAAGGCAACAAGACCAAAACTGAGGAAAATGAGGCAGAATGTGAGAGGCCTTGGTGAGTACACATAAATCAAGAAATTCTGTTTTTCTATGGCAGTGGTTCTCAACCTGTGGGTCACTACTCTCACAGGGGTTAAATATTAGATATCCTGCACAGCAGATATTTACATTACAATTCCTAACAGTAGTAAAATTACAGTTATAAGCAGCAATGAAAATAATTTTGTGGTCAGGGGTCAGCACACTGTGAGGAGCTGTACTGAAGGGCTACAGCTTTAGGAAGGGAGAGAACCACCGTTCTATAGGTTAGTTTCTCATGACTAACAGAGGGCGTGAATACACTCCAGTTCCTGAGACTCCTCCAACAAGACAGTCACAGAAAGAAGCAATCAGGAGGAAGAAAAAGAGGTAGATTACCCACCACTGAGATCCCTGGCCGGATGGTGCTTTGTGTGTGCATACCTGCATCTGCGTGGAGGCCAGAGGCTGATGTCAGGCCTCTTTTTTTTATTGTTCACTTTTTTCGAGGCATGGTCTCTTACTGACCTTGGCTAGGCCAGTCGGTGAGCTCCACAGAGCCTCCTGTGGCTCTGCTTATGCTATCTAGGCAAGTACCTGAATGATTGAGCTCTCTCCAGGGCACTAGCAAAGGTGTTTTTTGTTGTTTTTTTGAGACAGGGTCTCTCTATGCAGCCCTGGCTGTCCTCTAACTCAAGAGATCTGCTTGCCTTTGAAAGCCTCCTGAGGGATCAAGGAGTGGGCCACCACATCAGGTTTTACTAGCAAAGGTTTTGAGCAGGGAAGCCACTATCTTTACACAACGCCAAGGGAACCCATTTCCACCGGCCGCGCTTAGTTTTCAACCTTGTTTTTACACCTGCTTTTTTTTTTTTTTTTTTTTTAAGATTTACTCTTTTATTTTTAATCATTTGGATATGGGTATGTCTGTGTGTCTGCCATACGTGTGGGGGGTACCTGAGGAGGCTGGAGACATTGGATATTTTGGAGCTAAAGTTCCAGGCAGTTGTGATCTGTTGGACATTGGTACTGGGAATTGAAATCAGACCCTGTGTGGTGGGTTGAATTAGAATGTTCTCCACAGGCTCATTTCTGTGAATTTTTGGTCCCGAGTTACTGAAACTGGGCAGGACTAGAAGGTGTGGCCTTGCTGGAGGAGTGTGTCACTGGAGTGGGCTTGGAGGTTTCAGAAGCCCACGGCAGGGCCAGTTTTGCTCTCCCTCTGCCTCCAAGTTATAGTTCAAATGTGAGCTCTCAGCTACTGTCCCAGCACCACGTCTGCCTGCTGTCCGCCACACTCCCCACCATGATGACAATGGACAAATCTTCCCAAACCGTTAACAAGTCCCCAGTCAAATGCTTCCTTTACAAGTTGCTTTGGTCACGACGTCTCCTCACAGCAATAGAACCATGACACTCTGGAAGAGTGATTCATGCTCTTAGTCATTGAGCCATCATCTCTCCAGGTCCTACACCTACATTCTTTTTTTTTTTTTTCTTTCTTTTTTTTCTGTTTTTCGAGACAGGGTTTCTCTGTGTAATTTTGGTGCCTGTCGTGGATCTTGCTCTGTAGACCAGGCTGGCCTCGAACTCATAGAGAACCGCCTGACCCTGCCTCCCGAGTGCTGGGATGAAAGGTGTATGCCACTGCCGCCCGGCCCTATCCCTGCATTCTTAAAACAGCATCAGCTAGATCTAAACACTAACACCTAGGGGAGAAAAGTTATGGACTTCTCTGTAATGCAAGTACACCATGCTGTGACTGCCACTGTAGTGTCCCAAGACACCCTGGGAGAAGGGTCAGGCCTAGACATACCCACTTTGAGTCCATCTACCTGGAGAGTGACCTGAAGTCATGAACAAGCAGCTCAGGGGAGACAGGGAGCTTTGGGGGGAGGAGTCTAAGCAAAAGTTGGTCATAAGAGAATGGCTACATTCAGAGAATGGAATGAGAGATGGTTCAGAAAGGAAGTGTCAAAACTGTATCGAGGCCCAGGAAGACGGACCTGAGAAGGGTCCACAGACTCAGAAGTCAGGCCACAGCTTTGGTAGAGAAGGGAAGCAAGGATGAGCCGGAAATGACACATGGAGGCTTGTTCCTAAGAGGGTCCATGGGAGCAGACAAGGACTTTGGAAATGGGTGATCCTAGTAGTGAGGGGAACAAGGGTAAAGCTGGTGAGGAGATAAGTTTGAGAAATAAGGCAAGGCACCTCTTATTTCCTGAAGGGCAAAGGGAAAACGGGGGAGGCAGCATACTAAAGAACACTAGAAAGCAGGGCTGAGCTCAGGCCTAACTGCCACAACTGCCTCAGATGTCAAGAACGGCAGACTGACCCACAGCATGGACACCATAGAAAGGTGGAGTTGTCCCTGAAACAGAGGTAGCTCCTTCAGATGGACACAAGCCTGGATCCTTTTGTAACTAGGACCAGCGCAGACCTGCACTACAGTCAGGACGGTACTACATTGCTGAGGCATAATGAACATAAGGACTACAGAAGTATTTTCTTGCCGGGCGGTGGTGGCGCACGTCTTTAATCCCAGCACTCGGGAGGCAGAGCCAGGCGGATCTCTGTGAGTTCGAGGCCAGCCTGGGCTACCAAATGAGTTCCATGAAAGGCGCAAAGCTACACAGAGAAACCCTGTCTCGAAAAACCAAAAAAAAAAAAAAAAAAAAAATTTTCTTTACTACAAAACCTATGTTTTACAGACACTGGCAAGTAAGGGCTAGGCCAAAATTTTAGCATAGTTCCCTATCAAGATTCTCTCTGGTTGAAACTGCATTTTTCTTGGAATACATGGTTGTTTGGCTATGTAAGTTACTGTGCTGTATATTAAATTAGGTCTGAAATTTTCAAAGTACTTGAGACCTAAGAAAATAAATTACAGGCCATTTCTACTTTATTTAAACAAAAATACTCAACAATACTCCATGGAGACTTGGGGAAGACCAGGAAACAGATTATTTAACACACGCCTTGCACAGCTAAAGGGGACGGCCCATGTATTTGAGCTCCCCTAACATACTGCCATTGTTGGCAAATGGACTGGACACATTGAGGATTCTGATGCTCTGCATTCTGTGCAGATGAGCACATCACTACCTACGAGGAGGGCACTCCAGCACCTGCCGTTTGTGCAGAAAGAACAGACACACTGTCACACTTCAAGTTCTTCTCCATTCATGTTACTGCTTATGCGTCTACACTTTTTACTAGGCAAGTCCTTGATACAGATAAAGGGAAAGAGGCAAGCCAGAGGCTGTGGGTAGAGTGCAACCAGAGCACACTGAAGAGGAGAAGGGCGAAAGCTGATGAAACTCATGAGTTTTAGATGTTCTTTTACAACCGTATTCCTTTTAACCCAACTCCAGCATCAGTATGCAAGTGGTCCTAAGTGTGGGAAAGCAGGATTCTAGCCCCTAAGAGAGGACCAATGGGGTCATGTCAGTCACATGGCGTCTGTGTAGTGCACAGCAATCTCTTTTTAGACTAGAGAAAAACTATGAGGAACTGAGTAATTTTTTTTTTCCAAGACAGGGTTTCTCTGCGTAGCCCTGGTTGGCCTTGAACTCTCAGAGATTCGCTGGCCTCTGCCTCCTGAGTGCTGGGATTAAAGGCGTGCACCACCACCGCCCGGCAGGAACTAAGTAATTTAAGGCAGCTTTAAATGGCCAACTAAAAGTATATGCCATCTTACCTTTAATTTTCTGCTTGTATTCTTCTGGTCGGTGGAGGTACATGGCTGCAGCATCACCATTGAGAGGATCTATGGGGTTAGGATAGGCCAACAACTGGGGCAGGAAGGACTCAAATATATTGGTAAGATCTGAAAAAACAAACAAACACTTCATTCATGGCAACATGCAATTTCACCTAATTAACTGGAGTTCAGTAGTCACGAATGCTCACTTAAAAATTTATTTTTATTTATGTGCCTCATGTTCACACAGGTGCCCATGAAGGCCAGGGGTTGCTGGGTACCACAGTTAGGTTCACTACAAGAGCAGTAAGCATTTTAAAATTTATTCTTCCTGTCTTTCACATCATGTTTTCTGATCCCACCACCCAGCTCCCACTCCCTTAAATTAGCCCCTGTAATCTCCCCTCAAAAGTAAAATAAAATTTAAGATTTAAGAAAAAAGGGGGGGGGGAATCTCATCATGGAAGCTGCAGTGTGACACAGTGAGTCACTCAGTAAACCCCTTTATCCATACATCTTTTTTTTTTTTTTTTTTTTTTTAAAGATTTATTTATTTATTATGTATACAGAGAAGGGCACCAGATCTCATTACAGATGGTTGTGAGCCACCATGTGGTTGCTGGGAATTGAACTCAGGACCTCTGGAAGAGCAGTCGGTGCTCTTAACCTCTGAGCCATCTCTCCAGCCCCTATCCATACATCTTTACATGCAGACGTTCACTGCAAAGAATCACTGGTTTGGTTCAAGGACCCTGGTCTCTGCTACGCCACTGAAACTGGATCCTCACTGGGACTCTATTTGGACATCCCGTTGTTGCCCTGTGTAGCCCTGGGTCCACAGGACCACCCCCCAAACCTGTGCTCCAGCAGATCACAAATGGGGTGGATCAACACATAACCCTGGTTCTAGACCTAGGTAGTTGCAGGGTGGTCAGCCCGCCAGCTCTCTCATGTCTTCACCACCAGGGTGAGCTCTCCAGAATTGCCCTGGCCAGTTCTCCACCTCAGGGTGGTTTCTCCCACACCTCCACCGTCAGGGCCAGCTCTACTGTGTGGCCCAATGGAGGTGTAGGGCCGCTCTCCCGAGAAGTACTCTTGACTACAGAGTTACCTCTCCACTCCAACACCGTCCACCTCCCATCTTGCTCACCTGCTTAACCTACCTACCATGGGGATGATTTTCCACAAAGGTGTGTTCCACAATAACAATCTTAACATCAATTACATTTTTAAAATTTAAACTTAAGGAACCAGATTAGGATATAAAGAATATTATTCTCTTTGAAGGGCAATTTTCCCAGCCTTTCCCCACCCCCATTTTCCCATTGATAGGAGTTTGAATCCAGGGCCTTGTGTTAGACTAGTATGAGCACAGCCCACTTTTCTCAATTCCAAGTCACTCTATTTCCCAAACTGAGACCCTAGAGACAAACACACATCATTTCCTGAAAATTACATCCCAATAATCTATTCCACCCCAAGTTACTGTCGTTTTTTACTTCTGAAAAGACTGCATTACTGCGTGCACATGTGCAACTGTGAGGGCGCATGCGCCATGCTGTGAACACTGAAGTCAGACGACTCTGTGGGGCTGGTTCTCTCCTCCACCTTTACACAGGTTCTGGGCATTAACTCAGGGATGCACGGCAAGCAGCTCACTCACACTATGCCATCTCACCAGCCCAAAGTGAGTTAATTTCCTTTCAAAAATTCATTTTTGTTTTATGGATGTGGGTGTTTTGCCTGAATGTACTTCAGTGCACCACAAGTGTGCACTGCCCACAGCTGACAGAAGAGAGCATCAGATCCCCTGGAACTGGAGTTTCAGACAGTTATTAGTCACTGTAAGAGGGGTGCTGGGAATTGAACCTGGGTCCCCTAGAAAAGCAGCCATTGTTCTTAACCACTGAGCTATTTCTCCAGCCCCATGAGTAATTCCTTAAAATAGCCATGTTTCACCATTTTCAAAACCTTCTACTGTATCATTATTGTTGCTGTTTGTGATTCGGGATCTCCCTTAGCTTAGGCTGGCCACAAACTTGACATGTACCAGAGGATGCCCTTTTATTCCTGCTTCACCTTACAGGTCCCAGGATCACAGGCAATGTCAGCATTCATTCAGGAGAGTAAGGCAGGAGAACTGCCACGAGGCTGAAGCCTTACCCGAGGCTACCCAGTGAATTCCAGGCCAATCTGGCCTATTTACTGAAATCTTACTTTGGAGGGGAAAAAAAGAATGGAAAATTCTTTTTTATAGGACTTGACATAAAATAGTCTGTTCCCCAAATCCCTTGACAAGATCTCACTAAGTAGCTCAGCTGGCCTTGAATTCATAATTGTACTGAGTGCTGGGATTGTAAGAATGGGTAGTAACTTCTACTGGATATAGATATAATCAAGTTCTTCAATTATTCAAAATAAGGATAGAAATCTAGCCCGGCATGGTGGCACATGCCTTTAGTCCCAGCACTTGGGAGGCAGGAGCAGAAGCTGGCAGATCTCTGAGTTTGAGGCCGGCCTGCCTGGTCTACAGAGCAAGTTCCAGGATAGCCAGGGCTGCTACGCATAGAAACCCTGTCTCAGAAAAAAGAAAAGAAAAGAAAAAAGTGAAAGAAACCTATACAAACCACTTATAATCATAAATAACCACAAGACAGATAAGCAACCTACTGCTAATATTAACTCTTGTCTTACTGGTATACCCACATGATATCAGTTACCCCGTGCTCTACAAAGGAAGAAGCCTTGAAAACCTGGGTACAGCACAGCCCACACTTCCCAACTTCAGAGATGATGTGATTTCCGTCCACAGGGCCTCTGCTGTCAACAGCGAGCTGCAGACCCCATGCCTCCACTCCTCGTCCTGCTCCAACCACCCTGCATAGAAATACTCCTGTCTCTGGAGGAACACTGAAGTAACAAAACTTTACTCCTTGTTCTCACTGGATCTGGTCTATTTTCACAATGACTGTCTACGCTGTTACTAGTGGATGCTTTCCAAGCCTCCCTACCTGAGGTCTGTGCTCCCCATGGAATCTAGGAGGATATGGAAATATTTCTGGTCATCAAAACAGGGTGGGATGCTATTGACACCTACCGGGTAAGGGCCAAGGATGCTATTAAAGTGTTACAATGCACAGGACGCACTCACAACAAAGGACTGTCTGGATGAAATGACAGTTATGGCAAGGTTGAAAAAAAAAAAAACTGTTAGATGATTGGAGTGAATACTTTAGATCTTACGGCCAACAAACGTGGTCTTTTTCAGTATAGCTCTGTCAACCTGGCACCAAGTAGCCAAAGATAAACACCACAAATGGGCGTGACTATGCTCCAGTAGAGCTTTATATACAAACGGCCCAACTCCACTCTAGAAAAGCCTCCACAAAGCAAGGGATGTAGTGCAGTGGTAGAGGGCTTACTTAGCATGCCCAAGGCCCTAGGTTCATTCCAACACCATACAAACAAAGAGAGGGGGTGGGGGAAAAGAAAATCTTTCGGACTGTAGGTTTTCCTGCTCACTTCCTGGAATACTGTAGAGTTGTGCTTTTCAACAGAACATTCTACAGAGATAAAAATGTCCTATCTCTGTACTGTCCAAAACATCTGCCACAAATCACATGTGTCTGCTCAAGATACGGTGAGTGTAAATCAGGAAATAAGCTTTTCGTTTTATTCAAGCCTAATTTTAAACACTCATATGTGGGCAGTAGATCCTGTACCAGATCTCTGGACAGCTTGCTTGGTCTGCTCTCACACCGAGTAGCTCTATCCAGAAGGTGAAGACACGCTTCAGAAGTTTCCACCTGGGCTTTTAAAAGGCTCTCTTTACAACAGTCCCATGGAACCAAATTAGAGTAAAGTGCCACACACCAGAACCTAAGTGCTAAAATTTTAACCAAGAAGGAAAAACAAAACACGTTCCCCTAAGACTTCATAGTTTTAAAAATCTAGGCTGGGTATGATGATGCACGCCTTTAATCCTAGCACTAGGGAAGCAGAGGCAGGGGGATCTCTGAGTTTGAGGCCAGCCTGGTCTACAGAATTCTAGAACAGCTAGAGCTATTATACAGAGAAACCCTGTCTCTAAAAATCAAAATAAATAAATAGTTGTACAAACCATAATGCCAGAGCAGGAGGGCTAGCAATGGTCACAGCTAACATCAGTGGTAGATGAATACATGGCACTGGCCTCAAACTCTTGATCCTCCTTCCTTGAATCCCCCAGCTGCTGGGATTATAGGTGTGACCCACCACACTTGGTTTGGCCAGACACACTTTGAGCTTAGGTGATTAATTCACTACAACCAATGAGGTGGTTACCACTATCAAGTCCACTTCACAAATAAAGAAACTGAGGCACACAGATTATATATAACTTGCCCAAGAGGCTGGATGCCCACCTTGCTGCCTCTGTCAATGGATGAAACATACTGCCTCGCTTTCATGATGAGGCAAGTTCTCCATGTCTGCAGCAAAACTGCACAGTGCTCAGGGGAGCTATGCAAGCCTAGAGACAGGCTTGCCTCTCTCCAAAGTGTCCCTTTCTCACAAGTGCAAGGACAGCAGAATGGGCTTTAACACAGACTGTCCAGGCTGCCTCTGCAGTACTTCACAGTGGCAATGTGCTTATTTTCAAGTCCCTCGGCCTAGGAAATAGCTCATGCTGCTCACTGCCACGTTTTATGACAGGGGCTGCTGAAAGGATTCCTGTTGAATGTTCCCACCGAACAACAACAAAACCCTTTAAAACTAAAATCTAGGTTTTGTTCTCTTTGATGTTCAGAAGGGTTTTGGGGCTAGAGAAATACTGCAGACCACCTCTTACAGACCCAGGGCTTGCCTGTGTCCCGGGGAGAGATCTCATAAACTTTCCCATTACTTTCAAGTTTCCTCAAGCTACCAATAAGCTTTGTCAATGTGTTTGCCCCAAACAAACAAAAGAACCCTTAATTATTGGTTCTCCCTTCCTGTGTTAACACACTTCTGATCCATGTTACAGATGTGCTGAGTCACACCTGTAAAACAGAAAAGCAACAGAGGAAAAGTCCACATTAGCTTTGAGTGGAGATGATATACCTTTTGGGCACGAGGAGCTTCTGGCTCTGGCCACTAGGAAGCAGTGG